GCACTGCCAAGAAGGTGCACAAGCCATGGGGAGGATACACACACCAGTGGGTGCGCATCCAGCACCACACATGGGCCGCCTACACCATCTACCACAATTTCCCAACACCCAAAATCACCCCACCTTTCAATGTTCATGTGCCATTCAATGCCCCACACACCACCACCACCAGTGACATTTGTGCTGAGATTGGCATTGAACAGCAACAGGGTCAGTGGCCACACATGGAGGACGTGACATTTGTGTGCACGTGGCACATGGCTGATGGGCGCCACCAGATCTTTGCTTTGGGGGTGTTGGATGGACACAGAGGCAATGCCACCTTGTGAGTGCTGTGCAAGGTCCTGCCCAAGTGCATTGTGTACAACCTGGGTGACAACGCTGACCTCAATGATGCCAATCAGACACACAAGATCAACAGTAAGTTCATGCTTGCCTTCTGGCAGGCACAACAACAGCTCAACACCAATTCACACAGTCACCATCATGGGTCAGGCAGCAGGGCCACCATGTGTTTGTGGCAAGGAGGCAGCACAATGCTCTGGTGGGCATGGGTGGGCAATTCCAAGGCCACACTGCCCACCATCAGCTCACCACACTCAACCACAAGCCACACACCAGCAAGCACAAGGATCAGCATATCAAGCAAACCAGCACATCATTCATACTGCACACCATCAACCAGACCTATGTGCACCTCAATGGGGTGCACATCACCATGACCCACACACTCAGCAACACCCAGAGCTACAAGCCATTCACCACCACCAACCACCAACACCACACAGCCAGTTACACCATGTCACCAATCCCATTCATCAGATCCATGGACATGGGGGCCATGCCAGACAATGCAAGCGTCATTATTGCAAGTGACAGGCTGTGGGACATGATTGACCATTGCAAGGCAGTGCAGATTGTCTGATCCAATGTTGGTGCGGCGGCCAAGGAACTTGTGTGATGTGCCATGGCCAAGGGAATGATGGACAATGTGAGTGTGCTGGTGTTCATGCCCAAGAGGCTTTATTAAGTGTTTGGGATGATGACAGGGAGTGTGACAGCAGCTGAGATCTTGCTGAGAGCATCACACAGCTGCTTGCGCAGGCACTGCACTGCAGTGTCACTGGAGATGACCCACTTGCATTGGTGCTTTTCCAGATTGAAGGTGAGTAGGATCTTGGTCTGATCCTTGCTGAGTGCAATGATGCTTCTGAGAGGCAACATGAGGGCCTCCCAGGTCAGCAACATGCACATGACCTGGGTGATGCTCTTGACACCATGACTGCACAGATCTGAACAAAATCCATCTTTGATGGCCTTGAGGATTGCGCCAGTATTGTGTGGTGTCACCAGCACCCAATGATGATGTGACTCCTTCTTGATGTAGGCATTGAAGATAGCTTGTCCTTGTAATACATCATCTGGCCCAGCCTGTGATTGGGTGTGCTTGGATGGTGATCACATTGGAATGATGATGTAAGGG